TATGTGTCATCTGAAGCGATCGGAGGCGGGCACCCACACCCTCCGTCGAGCTCCGTTTTCTATGCGGCCGGGAAAGAAAACGGGCGCTCGATCAGCTGATTATTGTAAACAAAAGTTTCACGGACACCGAGCAGGCGGCGAGCGACTAAGGTAATCGTGGCTTCTATTTATCAGATCTTTTATGGCTTTTGTTGCATTTGTTTTTGTATTTTGGTTTGAAATGATTATATCCTAGAAGCATATGTACTAGCAGATTAGGTTTGTCATTGTTCATCTGTTTTAATTCAGGCGAAAATTATCAAATTATCTTGACCTTCCTTTGGCTTTTGGAAGCTTCTGAAGCCGGAGATAACATGGCAGTTTCAGTATGATAACCATGTTGTCTGTTGTAAGACATTTGGGGAATTAACGCTTTGAGGACATATTTTGATCCTCTGAATATGTGACATGATATTGTTGATGATTAACAACGTAAGTTAGAGCACTTAGCTGTAGATAGTGGTAGCATCAAGGTTCAATTGTCATCATTGCAAACAGTATGTGGAATTTTGCATACGAAGGAATGTGCTGATCAGTTTACTTTAGATGCCTTACAAAGAAATTTAGCCTTATTTTCAGTCAAGGGAATTGATATGATTCTTATTTCTCTTTCTAGACTGGAAACCTATTTAGATGCATGGGCAAATTATTTTCAAAAGTCATAACTTGTGCAGTTAAATTTTCAGCTTATCCAAAAATGCACAGGTCATTGTTGCACGACTATTGTTTTACATTATGTAACGTTTGTGATGGATGATACATTGTTTATACATCACTTCTGTGCTAACAAAATGGGTTGTCATTGCTGGCACAGCCAAGTATGGTTCATTTTAATTGATTGATCTTTTAAGTCTTTCTCTTTGAACTGTTTACTGATGTAGGTACTTTGACAGCTGCACAGTGAAAACATGCAGCCAGATATGCATGCAATATATACTAATATTATGTGTGCACCACAAAGTTCCCAGTCTGGTTCTCTTGAAGATTACATTATATTTTCTGATCCCTATAAAGCGCTGTATTGGTAAGAGGTTTAACTTTGCTACTTTGTATTTTAGTAGAGTTTATGGTTCTAAATTCTAGATATCAGAAGCATCATTAATGGCTTTATATGATTTTATACCTATGAAAGAGGTAGGATGAGATTTATCCTATTGTATTTATTTATATGTTAATTTTATATTGAAGAAAAAGTAGAAGTTTGTAAATTGCAAATTTTCCAGATGAGAGATTTTGCAGGAAGAAGTTGAGTATTACAGATAAAATAACAAAACTTATCTGAGAATTAGAAAAAACAAAATCTTGTATGTACAAATGTAAATTAGTATAACTTTTTTTAAATTATAGATTAATTAAGTGGGTTATATATGAGATTAGAGTATTCACAGATACTGATAGGTTTGTATATTTATTATCCTTATCATAACTATATGTGTAAAAGCCTTTTCTCTTGATATTCATATTTTAAAATAAAAATTCTGTTTTTGCAGACACTTGTGAATTAGCAGGAAAATGTCATCAAGTAAGTAGTACTGTATTCACCAGTTGTTTATATTTGTGACTCAGAAAGCAAGTTTGCTTTGATTCATTATCCAAAAATTTTAGGGATTTCCATTTTAATATCAATCTTAATATCTAAAATTAAACTTGATTTAGTATCAGGACCATGCTTGTGTGTAATAAAAGTGATTCTGATGGAACATACATTATGAAATGTGAATTTAGACTTGTGTTTCAGTTTTAACATAACTTTTCTATTGTTTATTTTTTTCCTACTTCCTTGTTTTCAATATATATTTATATTATTAAACTTGTATTCTCTTTGCATTCATAGGATTTTTATAAATTTACATTAAAGAATAGGACAAACAAATGTTTAAATATGTGGATATAGAAAATATATTAGACTCTTCTTTAATAATATATTTGCATTTTAGTCTTTGTTTAGTACCATACACATGTGATCTTGTTCTTATTCTTATTCTTTGTACTTAACAGAATTACGCCTAGCTCTGGTGCAGCTGGCTGTCGGAAAATCAAAGTTGGATAATGTGACTCGAGCTGTACAGAAGATCAAAGAAGCTGCTTCAGAAGGAGCCCATTTGGTTGCCCTGCCCGAGTGTTTCAACTGTCCATATGGCACACGTAATTTGCCTCATTTTTCTTCCCTCTCTCTCTTTCTCTCTCTGTCTTTCTCTCTCTCTCTCTCTCTCTCTCTCTCTCTCTCTCTCTCTCTCTCTCTCTCTCTCTCTCTCTCTCTCTCTCTCTCTCTCCCTCTCTCTCTCCCCCCCCCCCTTCCTCTCTCCCTCTCTCTCTCCCTTCCTCTGTCCCTCTCTGTCCCTCTCTGTCCCTCTCTGTCCCTCTCTGTCCCTCTCTGTCCCTCTCTGTCCCTCTCTGTCCCTCTCTGTCCCTCTCTGTCCCTCTCTGTCCCTCTCTGTCCCTCTCTGTCCCTCTCTCTCTCTCTCTCTCTCTCTCTCTCTCTCTCTCTCTCTCTCTCTCTCTCTCTCTCTCTCTCTCTCTCTCTCTCTCTCCCCCCCCCTCTCTCCCTCTCTCCCTCTCTCTCTCTCTCTCTCTCTCTCCCTCTCTCTCCCTCTCTCTCCCTCTCTCTCCCTCTCTCTCCCTCTCTCTCCCTCTCCCTCCCTTCCTCCCTCTCTCTCTCTCTCTCTCTCTCTCTCTCTCTCTCTCTCTCTCTCTCTCTCTCTCTCTCTCTCTCTCTCTCTCTCTCTCTCTCTCCGTTCCTCTCTCCCTCTCTCTCTCTCCCTCCCTCCTTCCTCCCTCCTTCCTTCCTTCTCCTTCCCCCCTTCCCCCCTTCCCTCCCTCCCTCTCTGTCTCTGTCTCTTTCTCTTTCTCTCTTTTTCTCTTTCTCTCTTTCTCTCTTTCTCTCTTTCTCTCTTTCTCTCTCTCTCCCTCCCTCCCTCCCTCCCTCCCTACCTCTTCCTCACTCCCTCCCTCCCTCCCTCTCTGTCTCTTTCTCTTTCTCTTTCTCTCTTTCTCTCTTTCTCTCTTTCTCTCTTTCTCTCTTTCTCTCTCTCTCTCTCTCTCTCTCTCTCTCTCTCTCTCTCTCTCTCTCTCTCTCTCCCTCCCTCCCTCCCTCCCTCCCTCCCTCCCTCCCTCCCTCCCTCCCCCCCCTCTCCCTCCCTCCCTCCCTCTCTCCCTCTCTCCCTCCATCCATCCATCTCTTCATCCCTCCATCTCTCCATCCTTCCTTCTCTTGCTCCTTCCCTCCCTCTCTCCCTCCCTCCCTTCCTCACACTCTCTCTGTTTCCTTCCCTCCCCTTCTCTCTCTTCCTCTCCTTTTCCATTTTTTGTATTTATGATATCATATATATATATATCATGTGTGCTTCTATTGTTTATTTTGTGTATAACCCTGCATTATAATTTTTTTTTTTTGACCACCACTATACATTTCCCTTTCAGAATATTTTGCTGAATATGCTGAGCCAGTCCCAGGAGAAAGCACTGAAGCCATTAAGGAAGCAGCAAAGGAGAACGGGGTGTATGTTGTAGGGGGCTCAGTGCCAGAGTCGGACGGGGGAAAGTTCTATAACACGTGTACTGTCTGGGGGCCAAAGGGAGACCTCCTAGCCAAGCATCGGAAAGTAAGTTCAGTTGGCCTTTTTTTTTTATGCAGTTATGGGTTATAAACAGCTATCTAATTAGAAAAAGAGATAAATAGAACACATAAGATGAAAAAGATAGGAATACAGTTCAAGAAGTGTACTTTTTACACACGCACACCCACACCCACACCCACACCCACACCCACACCCACACCCACACCCACACCCACACCCACACCCACACACACACACACACACACACACACACACACACACACACACACACACACACACACACACACACACACACACACACACACACACACACACACACACACAGAGGTAGAGACAGATAGATATATTGATAGATACCAAGTGATTAACACTCAACCTAGCCATATTATTCCCTCATATGGTTTGAACAGGTGTATAGCAGACCATGTTCTTTCACAATCATCACTTACTTGAGAAATGAGGTACATAGCCAAGAGCTTCTTATAGTGCCAATAGTCATGCTAAACTACTATTTTTTTGTATTTTTTTTATTGAGCATTTCACAAAAGAAAAAGAAATCTGAATTGCCCATGATTTAGATATATATAATTAAGTTTTATATACACAGACATGAGTTTTTGACAGATTTTAATTTGCTGTTTGTTTTTCTACCCCTTGTGTATCAGGTCCACCTGTTTGACATCAATGTCGAAGGGGGAATATGCTTCCGTGAGTCTGATGTGCTGTCACCTGGAAACAGCTACACAACCTTCGACCTCCCACAATGCAAAGTGGGGATCGGCATCTGCTACGACATTCGATTTGCTGAGATGGCCCAGGTCTACAGCAAAATGGGTGAGGTTTTTGTGATTAAGATGTCATCATGTGTTAGTTTATGACTTAAGGAAGAATATTTTGTGTGTAACATATTCTCTATGATGAGATGAAGATAATTGGAATCAGGTGGTTTTCAGCTTGAATGTTTAAACTGAATTATATTTGAATACGCTTCTGTCCTTACTCTGCATATTTGTGTCCAATATTTTTTTCCAGTTAGAAGATAGAGGTTACATTTCCCTTTCACACAGGTTGCAAACTCTTGTTGTATCCAGGGGCCTTCAACATGACTACAGGCCCTGTGCACTGGGAGCTATTGCAAAAAGGACGTGCCCTTGACAATCAGGTTAGTTAGTGCAACAGGTTTTGGTTTTATATTGATTGATAGGTAGATATAGATAGATATGTAATTTCATTTCTTAAATGCATAAGAATGTAGATAATACATAATATTCATAAGAATGTACATAAAGTAAAGCATTGTTTTGCTATTTTGAACAGAAATTGAAACTGACTGATTGATTTAGGATTTCCTTCTACACTGGAAATAGATATCTCTAGTAAACT